CTTGCAATCACCAAGCCTTAAAGGAGCCCTTACAGGAAACCCCCTAAACCCTAAACCCTAAACTCTGAAAACTATGAACCCTGAACCCTGAACCCTCAACCCTGAACCCTAAGCCCTAAACCCTGAACTCTGAACCCTAAACCTTGAAATTTGAACCCTAAACCGGGTGTAAGGCTTGGAGGTTTGGCCGCAATGTGACACGAGCCGAGCCAGATCTCAGACTTTAGAGCTTTAACCTTATCGGGATCGCAAGAGTATGTAGAATACTAGCCTTTTTACATGTTAGAGGTGTTGGGCCATTATTTTACCTAATTTCGAGGGTTTTGGCAAGTATAGTCTCCGTTGTCGTTCAGTTTTTGGTGAGCAACGTTTAGGGTGAGGATGCTTTTGCAGAAAACACAGTACGCAAGCATGCTGCAATGGATGCGTTACAGTACTAGAGATTTCCAGCATCCGGCTTCCGAGTCGGTCTACTCGAACCCTTTCAGAGCCCCTGTAGAAACCTGCAATCCTTAAACTTTAGCCCTACTAAACCCCAAACCCCCTAAACCCTTCAACCTTAAACGCTATAAACTTAGTTCTCTAAGTTAGGGTCCCCTTTTAGGTCCCCAAAATAGTACGGCACATTACGGCACCCTTATAAAACGGACCCTAAAAGGGATCCTGATGTAGAGAGCTACCCATATGGGTGGTTGTCAAAATTAGGGTCCCTTTTGGGGTCCTTATTATAATACGGCACTTATTATTTAGGGTACCCCAAAAGGGACCCTAATTTTGACAACTACCCAATATAAAGAGCCCTGAAAGGAGAAGCGCTGGATTGATGGCGTCAACCGTCAAGCCTGGGGCATTGTCGAATGTTACTTTGTAGCCGGCTCCTTTCCTCCATTGGGGGTCTTTTGAGCAAAATAAACGGCTAATTACTGTAAAGGAGTCATAAGGATTGGCAGTTGGGTTCTGCAGGGGTTTAGGTCTAGGTTTTGTTTTTGTTTGGATGTGTTGGGGCTTTAGGGATCAGGGTTTTGGGGTGTTAGGTGTTCGTTTAGGGTCTCAAGGGGTTGCGGGATCTTTAGGTTCCAGTTTTTGGGGTTGGGGTTTGGGTGGCCAGAGCTCTGGGAGTTCAGGGTTTCAGGGAGTCAGGGTCTCCGGGAAACGGCCGGTCTTCGGTTTTGGGTTTGGGTTTGGGGGTCTGGGGGTTTTGGGCGGCTTAGGTTTCTGTTTAGGGTATGGCTTTTCAGGTTTCTGGTATCGGTGATGGAAATGGCTACATTTGCTTCAGATAGTCACCAGCCCACATCCTGCAATTGTGGCCTGTATAGTTTGGTAAACAGGCTGCTGTCACAGCTGCTACATCCCCATCGATCCACGCCAAGCGCCAGCGTTGTCTTCATCATCATCATCGTAGCAGCAGTACTGTACTGGTAGAAGCCCGGCAGAAGCAGAGGCAGATTCAGAAGTAACAGCTGCCGGCAGCATCATCATCACCAGCAGCAGCAGCAGCAGCAGCAGCAACAGCAACAGCAACAGCAACGGCAACAGCAACAGCAAAAACAACAACCACATCAGCAGCAGCTGCAGCAACAACAACAACAACAACAACAACGACA